CAACTCGTTGACCGTAAATTTCCAAGTTTTTCATTAGGCTGCCTGCCGACTGTGCCTCTGTCTCAGTCTCAGTCTCAGTCTCTCTCCGCCGCTTTCTAATCAACTTGGCCGCAGTTTGTCGCCCTCCCTACCACACCTGCCGGAAAACGGAAAACGGAAAACGGAAAACTTTTTCCACTCCCACTTCTGGCATGTTTAATGAAAGCGTTTTCGCTGCGATTTCATTTCATTTAGCCGCCTGCCTGCCTGCCTGCCTGCCTGCCTGCCTGCCTGCCTGCCTGCCTCATTCATTATGCTCAACTCAGATTTGTAATTTACACCTGAGGCTAACAAGCGAAGAAACAATGCGAGGGCAGCGAGGGCTGCTTGTAACATTTGCAAGGCCAATCACAGCAGCTTCAAACTTAGATTGCAACCAAGAAAGCGTTTGTTTCCCTTTTAACCCGAGAGCGATTGAAACTGCCTGCTCAAATATTTGTCATGGCTTCAAATAGCCATTGAATGGTGTCCTCTTGCCCAGCTTAAATGCTTGAAAAAAACCCTCCACACACACACACACACACACACACACACACACACACACACAGAGAGACGCGCTGACAATGGAGCCAAAGCTGTCCTAATTCCCCACTGCCATCCGCTCGGGGACTAGGCCAAAAATGTGAAATGGCTCAACTGCAATTATGATGGGGGGTTGTGGGAGGAGTTTCCGTTGCTGGCGCTGGCGCTGTTTCCTGCTGCAGCTGGAACTGCTGTAAAATGTTTATGATGCTTTTATGGCAGCTGGCCCTAGGAGCTCAGAGAGCTCAGCACTCTCGCAGCTCGCAGCTCGCAGCTCGCAGCTCGCAGCACGGAAGACTGGGCTAAGTGGGTGAGTGGCTGAGTGCTCAAAGAATTAACAATATGAATATGAATTATAAATATGCAAAAAGGCAGGGCACAGGGAACTCCCGCCCGAAGTGCTAAATGGCTTATTATGATTACAATTGTTGTGCGCTTTGTGTGCTGCAATTTGCCTGTTTACAACGAAGACAAACAAAAGGCCAGCGAGCAAGGCTGCGAACGAGAGTCTGATTGACGTCACGTCACAGCCACAGTGCGTCCAAGGTCACCCTTTGTTCCACATATATATTTAAATTCTATAATGCCAAAGGCACACGTTGCTAGTCCGGCTAGCACTTGTGCATAATCTTTAATTTAAACAGATGCCGAAAGCCAAAAATAAAGTCGAGTACGGTACGGCCAGCCACGAGCCAAGAGCTGCACGTACAGAAAGAAATATATAAAACCGAAATCCTGTACATAATATAAAGCAAAATGCCGGCAACTGGTCAACGACGGCAGCGGAAACTGTCGTCGAATGGCTGCGGTTGAGGCTGGGCACTAAAACTGAAACTGGAGTTGGGTTTGCAGCTATCTGCTCTGTTTTTTTTTCTGCTGGTATTTGGCTGCAGAGCCCAAGCTTGGGTTCGAGAATGATGAAAGATTATGGCATGAATAAATTAAAGCACAAATTAGAGAATAAATTATAAAAATATATTTTAAAAAAGGTTTACAAAAGTTGGGAGAAATATTATAAATAAAGGTGCAGATTCTATTCTTTGGCTTTGGGCTTTGATTCATTTTCTAAAATTGATAGAAACTTTTCCCAGAGCATGCCCTGGTCGACGCTGCCCTTTTTGGCTGCTCTTCCAGCAATTCCATCAAAGGTCTGCTGCAAAGTGTGGCAGGCGGCCATGTGAGTGTGTGGCGTCGCATAAAGCATATTTATGGACGTGCTACGCGCTGTGGCACGCGTTGAATGTCGCAGGACACGAGACTGGCTTGGGGAGGGGGCAGCAGCTTCAGATCTTGACCTAGGCAGAAGGCGTTGACTTTGCCGCTTGCTGCGGAACTTGAAGCTGTTCCCTCTCTGCTCTCTAGTCCCTATCTGGTCTGTGTGTGCTTTGTGTTTGCATTTGTCTGCTCTTTGTTAGCACATTTATTTATCAACGCTTTTTTTTTTGCATTTCCGCTGCGGCGAGGCTGCTGTAGCTCCATGCGGCTCTGCTTTGGCTCTGTTATATTATTTTTGTTTGTTTATTTTCATGCACTTCCTCATTTTTAATTTATGACAATGGCGCCGGCTTTTGTTAAAGCCTCGCCCTGGCCCCTAAGCCCCGTACCCGCTGCTGGTCCTCGTCCAGTGTTATTGTAACTGATGCTCTTATAAATGGCCTCTGTCCGTCAGACAGCATTTCGTTTGTCGCTTTTATCGCAGCCAAACTGGGCAGCAGCCCCCACGACACCGGAAAGCGGTGGCTGGCCAGGGGATGGAGAGTGGGCGTGTGGGTGGGACTTTGGCTGTGAGTGTGGAGCCACACGTATACTTTGTACTTCCGTTCGCCCCCATTGTCCTTGACAGTTTCATTATGACAGCTGGCGGCAGTCGACGAGTTTTCTATACCTCCCTCGCACCCTACCTTCCGCCTGTTTTCTTCGCTGATTTTGGTTTTTGTTTAGTTGCCGCAGTGGCGCTATTAAAGTGTCATCTTGTTGTTGCTGCAGAAACAATGGACAAGTGTTGGCATTATTATTATTATTATTATCATTATTATCATCATTATCAAACGCGCGCTTCCTCTTCCGCCACAGCGGACAAAGATAAAAGCACAAAAGCGACCAGCGACCAGCGACCAGAGATAAAACGCTTCCACCATTCATGCTCTTGACTGATTTTTAGTTAATTTTCGCTTGGCTTTTGTTGAAGCTCACAAAGAAAGGAAGCTCGAGGTGTGGGTGCAGTTTTGTTGCGCAATCAATTGTTTGTCGTGTCCTTTACACATCAATTATGAAGTTTTCTCTCAAATGTTCAAGCAAAGAATTAGCGCTAGCAATTGGAACGATGAGAAATTTGAAATTTGTGGAACTTATTGCTAAATATTAATTCTAGATCTTTCCCCTAAATTTCGTACTTTTTACTGTCTCCAAATGCTCCCAAAATGCCTCAAAAAATGCTACAAAAATCTGCACGATTTGCACTTTCAGTCAGAGGATTCAAATTCTGCTCAATCTTCATCTGTTTGGTTCTGCCTGCCACCTCTCAAGACGCCTTAAAGCCGCCTTGTCCTTGGCATTTCGTTGCCATGTGGAACTGCCTGAGTGCGCAAATATTTAATTGAAATAAATTCCTGGCCGTCAGCGGACAGCGTTGAAGTCTCTGCCCCAGTCAGTCAGTCACTCAGAAATTTTCGCATTTGTTGGCATATTAAAAGTAGCAACTCGGCTGGGATTTATGGCTGCAGCAGCAGCAGCAGCAGCAGCAGCAGCAGCTCCTTGTGCTCCTCTGGCTCACATAAATATGCAATTATTTTGCATTTTCCGCGCTTTCGCGCTCGATTTTTATTTATTTGCATGCCTCTTGCCGCGGGGCATCGCTGCGGCTTCACGCACAACATTCCGCGCCATGTTTATGACACGACTTTTGGGGCGGCAGCAAATTGACTTTTACACAAAAGATGCCTGGCGGTTGTGGGAGGTTTGGCAGTGGCAGAAATGTATCTTTTTATGTGACATATTTATTTGTTGATTCATATATTTAATCTATTTATGTTGTATGCATAATTTTGCATTTGACATATTTTTATGGGCATGGCTCGTGCAGCAGCAGCAGCAGCAGCAGCACCACAGCGGCATCACAATATTGTCTGCCACACGCAAATATTTCTCATATTTTCCGGATGGTTGAGGGTCCTTCGGGGGCTGGGGTTTGGTGTCTCCTGGGTAGAAATCTCTGCTTATCGTGCACTTTGAGAGCATTCAAAAATATCTTTGTTTTATTTGGTTTATGGAATGTGAGATTGTTTCAAATGATGCTAATAAATGGTACAGAAATAAATAATAACAGATTACAAAAAATATAAATATTAATGAATATAAATAGTAATTAAAATATAAAATGAATAAAAAATAATTGTAAATAAATAACAGAACTTATAATAAATGAATAACTGATAAATTAATACAATAAAAGTAAAGAAATGAAATTGTAAGGTAGAGCCGTGAGGGAAAACGATTTTTGAACCGCTCTGCCAACTGTTTTATTCACTTGAAAAAGTAGTTTTGAACCTGCTAAAGCAAAATTCCTTCAATTATACTCACGGAAAATGCAAACCGCTAATATTTATATATTTTCTAAGCAACTAGCCGGCCTTTGGCATTCTACTCATTAAGCAAAATAATTAAATTGCAATTTTCAGAGCCAAAAGAGAACTTTATGCACTTGTTTTTGCTTGTATTTATTTTGCTCGTTGTATTGTTAAGCCTATTATGAATGTTTTTGGCAAACAAATGCATTATATTTATGAAGTTGTATAACATTTATCAAAACAGCAGAAAGGAGTGTCTTCGGGCTTGCTGAGATCATCCAGAGAGATTAATTGAAATTTTGCATGGCAAGCCTTTTGATGGAAAGTTTACATGAAGCAACCAACCTTAGCCCTGAGCCATGGCCTTTTATTTGCCTCTGCTCAATGCCAACAAATGTGAATTATTTTGACAAAAATATGCATCAACAAATTCGGTAATTTACATGCTGAAATGGCTGTCATATTTCTTTCCCTCTTTTATTTTTGAGGCCTTTATGTGCCGTACAACAAATTGAAATGTGCATTGGTGCCATGTGTGTGTCGTGGCTTTAGTTATTACTTATTATATTTAGTTGTTGCTGCTGCTGCCTTTTGTGGCAACCGATAAGCCTTTGGCACATCGAACTTTATTTGCAAGCAAAAATGTTTGTTCATTTAAGATAAATTGATGGCTTGTTGTCGCTGCAAATTGTAGCATTTATTGAATTGTTGCCAGTGCCAATTCGGTTCGCTCGTAAATAGTTGCGCAAATAAATCGCAGCGCCCGTTCGATAGTCGTGGCATTTATGACAGCCACGGGGCGGGGCAGTGTAACCCAACCCTAGTGTTAATCGTGTTCATAAATATCAAGCGAACGCTTGCAGCTTTACTTACCATTAAACGTGGCCAGCAGCAGGGCGCCGAGCAGCCGCAACACCAACACTGACTGCTGCGTGCTCATCTTCAAAATCCTTTCCAATTTACTTGTAATCCAGCCGGAGCCAAGGGTGTGCCTCTGAGCATTAAACGGAAACGCGTTTACATTGCCGCGATAAGAAACGGAAATGCTGGGGCTCCGAGCTGAAGGCACAGGATGGCAGCAGCAGAAGGCAGGAAGCGTTGCGCCCGACGGCTGGCAGTTTGACTGCCTCTAAATGCGGCACGCTGGCTGCTCTGACTGCCTGCTCTCCCTTCCCTTCCCTTCCTTCTTTTATTTGTCTTGTCACGAAAGGTTCTTCCCTGTGATATTTATGGCCGCGTTGCTAGTTCCACATGGGAGACTGGGGCCTGCATTCTATTGGCACAAATTAACGTTGCACTTTCACTGGTGCTGCTGCTGCTGCTGTTGCCAGTATTTAAGCAAGAACTTGCTTATGGCACTCGCATATTAAATTCCATGCATCATTCCCGTGGCAGAGACTTTTGCTAGCTTACATGCAAAATCCACGTTAAAGATTTATCGTTCTAGAAGCTCTCGAAGCTGGAATCTGGAAGCTGGAAGCTGTTGCTGTTGTTATGGCTGCTGCCCTGCCCCAGTTACTGTGTTATGTTCTCGGAATTTATGTCTGTCTCGTTGACTTTCAGACATTGGCTTAAAGTTTGGTACAGGCGAGGCAGCAGCTGCCAGCCACTCCCAGGCGCACGCAGCTGACTGCGTCCCATGTGGCGTCTACGTCATGCGGATTGTCTCTGTGGCGTCTCTAAGCGAGCTGCCACACAGCAGAGCAGCGCAAAAGAGATTGCGAAAGTCAAAAGAGCTTTGGGCTTTGATGTGCTTTGGCTATGAGAGGTGCTAAATGGCAACCGAAACTTGTCAAACAGGTTAGGGAATTAAACAGCACTTTTAGAGTTATTTTTTCGTTGGCTTAAAGCCCCAAATCCACACACAAAACACTTCAAATCTTTTACTGCATTTCCCAAACTGACTTTAAACGTTTTTGCCATCCTAAATGCTGTATTATCGTGCCATAGCCTGCCAGTTGGCCCACACATTTATCTTGTGGCAGCAACAACCTTCCCCCATCGCTGTTGCTGCGGCACACAAAAATGCCAACAATTCAAAACTCAATCTGTAATACACTGCCGGCTACTTTGAGGCATTCACACAAATTCTACTGTGACGCCAACTGTCTGACAAATCGACAGTTGGATGCTGCAGGGCCCTTGGCAAGAGGTCTCCAGAATGGGCCCTCAGTCTCAGTTGGTCCTGTGGCGCAAATCAAATTGGCCGCCAAACGTTGCCTGGCATCAAAAGTCATCCATCACGGACACGGACGTGGGGCGCATCCAACTTTGCATGAAATTGGCTCTGTTTAAGCCAACGGGCAACAGCAGCCAACAAAGCGAAGTTGGACTAACACTGTGGGAGGAGTGTGACTCGGACTAGGACTACGAGTGGGAGTGGGAGTGGTAGCTCTTGCCACTCGAGACTTAATAAACTGAGTCCCGCGGGCCAAACACGAGCCAACAAAAAGGGGCAAAATGAACAGCGAGCACACGAAAATGTATGTAAATAAATAAACACTTAGCTCAACTCTTTTTCAAAGCCAAGTTCGTGGAAGCAGGACCTAAAATGGGGTGCTCAGCGCTGGTCAAGGGTTGAAAGATACGGCAATATTTATGTATTTAATATTCAGAAATATATTTTGAGGCAATCAAGCTTTCGTTTAGAATAATTATCTAAAAATAACAGCTAAAGGTTTCTCAAGCAACTCTTGCAGCGTTTTAAACCTTGCGATCTTTTCGATCATCGATGGCTCTTTATGCTGATGGAAATCATTTTGTGGCACATGTTTACATGGCTACAATAAACTACCAGCTCTGCACTTCCTTAAGTGCCCCACAGAAAGCCTGAGCCAGTGCCTGAGAGAGAGAGAGCAAAAAGAGCGACGAGTGGCGCTGAATTTTGTGCATTATTTTTTGTTGCCTAAATCCCTGGCGGCATTCTCATCAATTCATCATCACATGGCACATGGCACATGGCGCGCAGGCTGGCAAGAGGCCTAGCCGGCTGCTCTGTTTATTTCATTTCGGGCACAAAAAAAGTATGCAGCAGGCCTGTTGGGGCAGCAAGTGAATGAGAGGGTCAGAGGCGTACTAGCAGTGTGCTTGTGTGTGTGTGTGTGTGCCGTCCTTTGCGGCTGCGGCATAGACGCCGCAAACTAACGCCAAAAGTCTTTGTTGTTGCCTCGTCCAAATATGCAAGTGCCTCAGTGTGTGTGTGTTTTTTTATATTTTCGGTGAGGCTTTCTATGCCGGCTGGCTGTTGCCGAGCGGGCTGGAGTCAAATAAATTATTCCCCACATTGTTGTTGGCAAATTTTTGATGGTTTAATTTTGTGGAAAATAAGTTAAGCCGCTGCTGCACACACCACAAACATACAGGCAGGGCATACGCACACATGAGCAAATACAAAGCAAACCAACACACACACACACACACACACATGCACAAATTTGTTGCCTACTTTGCTGCGCGGCGTATACGCAATAAAATAAACGCGTCGCAGTTACATTTCCGCCAGTCCGGGATGGAGGGATGAGGCACTGGGGTTTGGGGTTTGGGGTAACATTTTATGCCGCATTGCCATTTTTATTTATTTATTTTTATTTGCCTTTGGCTGCTGTGCTGTGCTGTGCTGTGCGCCCCTTTATTTCCCTTTTATTCATTCATTTATAAATTATTATTGCAAAATACTCGACTGGTGGCCTTCTGCTCTTCGCTCTCTGCAGCTGGCACTCTGCTGTCCCTCTAAGCAGTTTCCCCACTTGATTCTGAGTGATTGTGCGGGGATTAATTCACTTGAAATGATTCATTTTCAATTCCCGGGCATTGTTTCCAGCCCTCCCCCTGCATGAGGCTCGATGCGTTCTTAGCTGCTGATATTTCTGTGGAAAAGCAAATTAGCTCAATTCCAAATTCCGAACTTAAGTGAGTGGAAACCCGAATGGAGCTGCCCTGCCTTTTTTCTGTTTGATGATTTCTATATTTTTATTTGTATTTATTTTTGTTCCTTCAACTTTAATGTGCGGAGAGACACTCAGTCAAAGCCAGTCATATGTGCGACGGCTGTTCTGAATTGAGCCACATCATCATCATCCACTTTGTCAGCGTCATCATCATCAGCATCAGCATCATTATGGTCTTGTCGTCACAGTCATCGTCATTGCCATCATCTGAGCCTGATGGCTGACATTGTCAAAAGGGTTTAAGTGGCCACACTTGAACCAGGGAGAATCAGCAGCAGCAGCAGCAGCAACTCCTCATCCCTAATGCTAGACAAATATGAAAAGCACGAGTGGGGATCTGGGGTGGCTGGTGGTGGAGAGTTGGGGCTGAGTGGAAGTCTTATGGGGTTGGGGCCAGCATGACTTGTGTACACGTTTCCATGGCACAACTTTAAAAGCAAAACCCCAAGGCTACACGAAACATCAAATGAAAATTTAATGTGTTATCGATTTATGCAACAAATTCTATAAATAATATGTACCAAAAATTGTACGCTACAGCTTAAAGATTTTTTGAAGAATTTATTCTGTTTAAAGTTGGGTTTAAATCTTCTAAAAAAAGGGAAAGAAATTAAATAAATAAAACCTTAAGGCGATTAAATGCGCCTCAAACTTTGCAAACTTTTAGGTTGTAGAAAACATTTGATTGAATCACATTTAAGGCAGAACCATTTCCAGAATATTATTTATAATTGTGGGCACAGGAATAAAGATTATAGACAGTCGCTTGAGAGTTTTTTTTTGTTTTAAAAGTTCAAATAACACGTTCAATGTTCTGCAGAAAAGCAAAATAAATGCTGCTGGAATAAAAGTAAATGTCTAAAGTGCAGAAAATAAAATATAAAATGCAATCAAATATGCAATGCACATTGCGCACCAGCATAAAGCTTCAGCAAGAGTTTACGGCATGTTTCATTTTATTTAAATAAAAGAAAATAATTTCCATAAAGTGTTTGTGGTGCTCAGAACTTAATTCTATGAAGTTCTCCGAACATAAATTCTCTACAAATGTTTTTCTTTAACAGAAACTCCTTCTTTAAACCAAGGTACGAGTCCTGCCAATCAATTCCAAATAATTATAGCAAAACAATTGCTTCATCTGCTGCCAAGAAGCGCAAATAAAATCTAGATAATTATCGGTTAATTATGTGAAATTATAGACAATTAATTCAGCACACACTTGCTGCCCCTTTACCCCTTTAAGTGATCTCATTTCGCACCCAACTCCAGCACCAACTTTTGTGGCAGTCATCGACATGATATCACATCATCATTCAGCATCCACTCAACCCGAGCCAGCACCTATTAAGTCATCGAGTGGGGCACTTGGCTTACGCCTAACCCCTGTGCGACAGCCAACAATTAGAGCTTCGCCTTCGTCTGTTCTGTGCCATCGAGTGGCTTCAATCAGGCGTCAGGCGTCAGGCTGCCGTGGCACATGTCTTGTGGGGCAGGCCGAGAGTCGCAAACAATAAACATTTAATTACCGGCCGTTGTGGCGGGTTTTTCGAACGGTAATTTGTCAAAGGGTCTAATTAAAAACTTGTGAATGCCACGAAAAATGCCACGAAAGACTTGGGGATAAGGGACGCCTGTCGTTGGCTGATTGGAGCAACGTTTTACAGCAAAACACGCAATTCACCTTCGTCATTGTCATGTTAATTAATTCGCCAGCACTTGAGAAGACAAGTGAACACGGCCAGCTCCAATCTCTACCCTGGCCACAACAAAAAAAATTAAAAAGGGAACACCAAAACTGTCAGAAGCATTCAGGGCGGCAGGCCATAATCAGGCGGAAAGGGCTGCCCCCGGGCACTCCCTTTCACACTTGTTAAGACTTTTCGATGGCCATCGATCCCACAACAGCAATAGCAGCAGGGGCGCAGGGCGGGGGTCCAGTCAGGCAGCGCCACAGTTCAATGCCTCTGGCATGGTTCATTGGGTCCAGTCGGGGCCCCAAAACGGGAAGCCAGCAACCAGCAACCAGCCACCGGCTAGCGGCCAAGGGGCAAACACTCGAAACACTCGCAAAGGGGTGGCGGGGCGGGGCAGGGCACTCACTCCACGCTTTCAGGGGGGTGGTGGCAGACTCTCGCTTAGCCGCGCGAATTTCTCGTCTTTTCGGTCTATGTCTGGCGTTGCGTATACGCCGCGTGGTACCGTTGGGCGCGCGCGTTAACAACCTCTGCACGCACAGAAGGATTTTCGAGACTGATGCTGGAGTCAGTGGCTGTGGCCGTTGCCGTTGCCGACGCTGACGTCGCAGCTCAACGCTCAGCGTGTGGCCAAAGCCGAAGTGGTAGCAGCGGCAGCGCCGCAGCAGAGCTACTTCGCTGATGTCACGGATGACGAAGGGAAACACGGCTGGCGGCTATCAAGCAGCTGTAGCTGTAGCTGTAGCTGTAGCCGCTGAAGCAGCTGCCTTGTCTTGCGATGGATGGATGGCTTGATGGCCGATGCTTTGGCTGCTTGCCGAATGCTGCCTGCCGGTTGCCCGATGCCTATGCCGATGCCTTGGATTGCCTTGCCTGTGCCGCAGCTGAGGCAAGTCAGTCAAGCGAGCATAGTAAACGTAACATATTGTCGCAGGCAGCAGCAGTTCTCCTTTGAAGCTGACGGCATCAAGGACGAAGTTAAGCGCTTCGTGTCATCAGCCAAAAGATGTCGAGGGAGTTTGCTCGTGTTTCAATTTATGACTCTCTTTCGTCGCTGTGTCGCTTGCCGACTTCGGTCCTTGTGGTGCTCGCTCTCAGACGGCAGACTCTCGTTTCTGGGTCACTTGGGTGGAAGAGGTTACAGGGAACCCGGCGGCAAACATTTTCAAAAATGTTAAGCTGTAAAATGGAATCCGTTCAAGTTAATTTTGAGGGTTACTAGATTTGAGGGTGAAATATATTTCAAAACTATTCTGCGGATCCTTCTAATTTATTTGTAATTGTTTTCCTTTTGGCTCTTACGCTGTTAATTGCAGCCGCTTCTGTTAGCGCACTGTTAAGTGAAGCGTCGGTTATGTTACCTGCTGTTAAAGCGAAAAGTCTACAAAATGTTAGCCAGCTGCGCAGACTGTTGGCTTAACAGAGCGCTTTACAGAGTATGTTAATGACGAGACTGGCGAGCAGGCTGCAGCTGTAAGAAATCGTAGCAGAATGTGCATTAAAAGTTACTTTAGTTAGATTCGGGGAATAATATTTGATTATGATTTATTTGTGCATAAAAAGTCATTCTATATTAATGAAATGAATTGTTGGGATTTCTGTTGTGGTTCTTCTGTTACCAAAACTCCATGGCCGTTGCCTTAGCAGTACAAAATTGCATAGAAAATGTCACAGCAGAGCAATGTTAATGCCGAATAATGTTATTCCAGAGTAATGTGAAAAACAACTTTTAACTTTATTTGAGGCGCTGAACATTTTACATTTAAAACATTTTAATTGTTTCCAATTTCCTTTAATTCCCAAATTAGTTTTCAATTTTAAAGATTTGATTTGTTGCCCTTTCGTTGCTACAATCAAAGTTGTAATGCATAAGAAGTCAATTAGGGAGCGATGAGTATGCTTTATGTAGAAGATAAATGCGAATCCTGTGACTCCAAGGAGCACTCATTCGCCCTCAGTAGGCGCTCAGCACTCGGCACTCGGCACTCACCACTCAGCAGCCAGCAGCCAGTCGGCACTCACACTCACACTTACATTCAGTGGAGCAAAGCCAAAGCAATTACAGTCGCAGACAATGGGCATGGAAATCGGGCTTTTAACATTTTTTGATGGCCGGCAATAAAAGCAATCCCCCGCTCACTTGCAACTAGGAAAAACTAACCCAGACATAGCCGAGAGACCCCGGCCTGAACCGAAATCCGAGGGACAACCCTGAGCCGAGCTGAGAACTTCACGTAGCCGTAGAAAGTCGCGTCAAGTACGTTTGGATATTTAATGCCATTTGGGGTCGTAAAAATTTTGAGTGTATCTTTCGTCCCTGCAATGGGATGGAGCCTGATGTGGCGGCAGCTGGGACTGGCTGGTGCTGGCTGTGTGATGTCCCCTTCCAAATAGAAAATGCAAAGCACAAAGGACAAAGACGGTCGCTCGCGCTCTCGCAATTATCTTGGACTTGGACTTGGTCTTGGACTTGGCTCTGCCATTAGATGACCCCAACTATTATTTTTTTTCCGCATATATTTTACGCATATTTTATGTGACTCAATTTGTTGTTCCTTCTGCCCTTTTTGGTCGTTTTTATGGGCTGAAAGTCAAGCGGAAACAGCGCGGTTCTGGGGCCATTCTCATGTCATTCGAGATGTACACACGAATAAAGATACAAACGAATTATTCAACATAGATACAGAGATACATAGATAGATATAGATACACATAACTATAAACGGGTCTTAAAGCGATTGTCTTGGCAAATGGGAAAAAAATTTGGTGAGAAATTATTTATGAACAAGGGAGGAGCTCTGGCTGCTGGCAAGCGACAGTTTTTGTGTACGATTTGGAGACTTGTAGTAGGGCTATAGAAAAGTTATTTATTGTAAAATATTAAGTGAAATTTGTGCATTTTATTTAAGGCAGGGAAATGTTTATCCATAAAGGTAAGCGGATAATCTGTGTAATTTCTTGTTGGCATTAAAATTAATCATTTGTTTGGTTTGAAACTGAAGTCTGAGCATCATTCATCATTCATTTTTACATGACAAACGTATTTAAATATTGAATAAAATGCAGCAACTGTTCAATGGATTTTGCAGCAACAATTTGTGAGAGCAACACCAAAACTTGTACACAGCCAGAATGCCAGCCCTGTTTGGGTTTGGTTTCTGTTTCAGTTTCAGTTTCAGTTTCTTTTGGGTTTTGTTGCTGGGTTGTGCTTAAATGAGTGAGTGAGTGAGTTTTCATGAGGAGACAAAACCTCTTACAACAGCCGGAGCAACAATGTCGACAACAATTTAGAAATTGAGCTTGAAGTAGGGCGCAAAAGTTTTTGCATTTCTCATGTGTTTTTTGTCATTGGAACTCGCTAATTTCCGTGGATAATAGTTTCATCTTCGTGACAGCTCTGCAGCTCCTTCTAGCTCTCTCGCTCCCTCTCCCTATCCCTCTCCCTCTTGCTTTCAATCTCCTTTTGGATCGCTCTAATGCCTGACATGTTTTGGGTTCGTTTTTCAACTTTCTTCTCGCATTTCTCTGGTTGCGTGTTAGTTGCGTGGGGTTGTGCGTGTCTGTGGCATGGGAATGTTAGTTTTTCCACGCATTTTGCGTTCTTATTTCTGCTCAGCTGTGTATGTGTGTGGGTGCCTTATAGTTTTACAATTTAAAAGCGTAAATTGAAATGAAATATTTGTCTTTTTGGGCATGAGTTGCGCTGCTTCGGCAAGTGCACTCAGCCTGCGTGAAATGAGCCGCATCTTGTGGCCATGTTTCATGGGCCAGTTGCAGCTACCCCATGGACCATTCGCCATTCCCCATTCCCACTTGCCATTCCCGTTGCGAGTGCGACTGCGGGTGCGTGTCAGAGCCAAATTGACCCCATTAATCCTTGCGGCCAGATAGCAGTAGCAAAAGCAAATGCCAAGCCAAAAACAATGACAAAACCACTGGGCCAAACACAGAGCACAGCAGTGGGAGAGCCACAGACAGATCCCGAGCCAGAAGCAGCCTTAGCCATGGCACTGGAATGGAAAAAAACTTGTCGAGACACAACCCGGACAGGAGCAGAATAAACAGGAGCAAGAGCATCAAGACCAGGACTCGCAGCAGCCGCAGCAACAGAAAGTAGAAAGCAGCAGCAAGCAGAATACTTTTGCTGCATTGTGCCAAGTCTTTGGCGTTGCTCGTTTGTTGCCTGGTTTATGGCTTGTTGATTCGTCCATGGGATAAAGCATTTATATTTGTCTACCATCTGCAAATGGAAATTATTCAAATGCGAGAAGAGGCAGTTTCATTTTGCTTGCTGCTGTTGTTTCGCTTCAAAAGTAGAGCGCAAACTTTTGGCTCGAGTAAAGATGATCGAAGCCATAGAAAGGCTATTAAAGGCTCAAGGCCCAAGGGTTTAGCCCACTGCCAAGTAGAGAAAAGGAACCTCTAACCGGGGGGTGCCAAGCAGTGTGCTGTGTCGTGTGTGTAACAAATGATCAATGCTCGAAACTGTTGCGTTTAATCTTGGACTTTGGGCTTGGCGCTCAATTTCCACCCAAAGTCCATTAATCATTTCGGTCATCAAGCATGAAAGCGATTACTCATACATAGACGGGTCGCCTTTTACCCTCTTCCCAAGCTCTACCTCCTGGAGTACTCACTCCGAATTGGCTACAACAAACATCGCCTAATAGGCAGGAAAATGGAAAAACGAAGCAAAATGTTGTGTGTGTCCAGGGAGTGAGGAGGAGAGTGGGGAGGGGGGGGAGGGGGGGGGGGGGGGGGGGGGGGGGGGGGGGCTGACTCGGCTGATCTAATATTTGTTCAAGTGTTATTTCTGTCGGCTTAGTTTTGCCCCAAAAATTATGCTACAATATTTCGTTATATTTATCACATTTGATTGTGCGTATTAACGGGAGTTAGCGTGGACTCTAGTGGGGCGTGAGTGTGTGTGTGTGTGTGTGTGTGTGTGTGTGATATGTGGCAAAGAATTAATAAGATAACTTTTGTCTCTGGGTGGGGACTGACTGCTGCTCTTGGCTTACGACTGTCAGCGGGTTCCGGGCGAAAGTTGTTTATTTAACATTTTGGCTTAATTTGTTTTTATGGTCGGACTCTCGCTGGCTCTGGCTTTGCGCTCCATTTCTGTGTAAATCAGCAGATTTATATATCCAGCCGAATGGCCGAACTAATTTGATTTTGAGACACAAAAACACACACACACACAGAGAGGGGCATGGGTGTGGAAATGAAAATGGATTCAAAGTTAGGGACATGTTGTGCAAGTTAATTAGCACAAATAGAAGGGGGGGTGTGCACAGAGGGGG